AACTTCAGCGACAAAAAGAAGTTCACTACCTGGAGGAAGCTGTGGATTTATCTCGCCAAAGCTGAGAAGGTTTGATATAACGATCTGCTGATTTTTATATGTTCCACAATTCAGTCTCACTGTTCTTGTGCTAGAACCTTTAGGCTTTAAAACTTTTGATTTTTCTACTAAACAAAGCTGTTTTAATTACTTTATATACACACTGCAAATGTGCTCATACGATTTGGCACTACATCTGTTGAACGTCGAAAGCTTTGTTCAGCCTGACTGTCCGGACTGATATATGATATATTGAGAGTGATTATATAGAGTGCAAAGAGTTGTTAGCAACACGCTTACACACACAGATAATGTGTTTTCTATAAGTCTCTGGGTCAGAGAGTCCGGACAAGATATTCTGAACCAGAACTTAGAATCAGTAGAAGAGCAACGGATAATAACATAAGATTATCAAGGCAGGGCAGGGAGGTGTCTTTTTCTTCTGTCTCTTACAGCGGATGGAGCAGATACCAGACAAGGTCACAGATGTACGAGGAGTGAGAATGCCACATTCTTGTGGGAGCAAGATAGCCAGGATAATCTTTGTTTTCGTAAAGCCCGTTTTAAGGTTATTGTTTTTGTGAACCAGACCCTTGATTTCACATGAAGGCCCACAGCGCTGTGTAAACTTGTAATTTCAACTGCCAATGCAAATTAAATCTTATTAAATGACAGAACATTCTCCTGAAAGTCCTTCTGAAAAATTTGAACACGACAGAACTTGCAGTTGGTCATATTTTAAATGAACATCTGTCAACATTATTATGAGATTCTAAAATTGAAAATCTGCAGTTTGTATTTTCCCATCGCAGAGCCACGTGAACTTTGACACGCTCCTCGTGCAGAGTCATTTAGAGCCGCTGCTGCTGTGTGAAAATAGAAGTGAATGTTACTGTGATGAGAAAACAGCTCTTCCAGTGTCAAAATTATTAACAGTAACTCTGGCTAAATGCTGTTGTCTTCGTGGTGTCTTCGGCACTGAGGTTTGTTTGACCTGCTTACAGTCTGACCTATGCCCCTTTTGACAGGAGAGAGGTACTTAATTGGCTGGAACCAATCTGTAGTGCTGTAGGAATCACGTGACTACGGTGTCCCAACAGAATATAGTCCAGTCTAATCAGGATATTGAACGCCTGTGCCTCCTCACGAGGACAGCACGATGATCAAAAGTGGAGAAAAGACATGCTGACAGACTAATGACTAATAAACAGCAGGCTGTTTGCTATCAGCTTAGCAATGCAAGTCACTGTGTGACTTTTACCCAAACATCCTTTTCATCAACAGAAGAGCCAATGCTGCAAATATGTGCATTTATAATAAAACATGTATTTATATAAAAACATATATTTGTATTTGTAACTGTTAATAAATGAATATCTTAAAAGTAAAAAACTGTATTATCAAGAGTCAAAGAGCTCCACATAATAAGTAGTAAGTACGTAGGAAGCAGCTTATAAGTAAACTCTGAAAATGAATGAAACCCTGCAGGAAATGGTTCAAAATTCATTCTGTAACTACAAACACTTTTGTTTTGCCAGCTCTAAACTTTACGAGTTGCTTGTAGGAACTCT